GGGTTTTTTTCTTAAAACTCTAGTGGCATGGAATTTAGGCAAACCCCCAAAATCTGTAAGATCCAGCATTCAGTTATAGCTATGTTTAGGAATGGAGGAACAGGGCAGTAGGTAAAGTCATTATAACACGGAAGGAGAAGGTCCTGCCTTAAGGTACAGAATTGTTGGTGGAAGCCTCAGCTGTACTGATGTGCTAGAGTCACAGGAGAACACTGAGGGACAGAAATTTTTCTACTACTTCCCGTATGGTTTGTTTCCTGGAAAGAGTAATTATAAATATGTCTTTGTGAGGGCCATACAAGGTGCAGAGAAAGCTCTTCATGTTATTCCTCCTTTGCATAGGCAGATGTCTTCTGCTTCTCACTGGCTTTCTCTGGCTAGGAGCCTTCTGGCTCAGGGGGCAGGCAGATGGTTTCCTTGAAGGCTCAGTGGCTCATCCAACATCAGTCAGTGAAGATACATGGCCATTGGCCAGTAATCCCCTACCACAATCTAAACCCTTAATTCTCAGTCCAAAAGAAAGTTGTTTCAAACTGACCTCATAAAAGAATGGCTTAAAAATATTAAGCTTTTATGGCTGTTGCAGTGAATCCAGCACCCAGGGCTTCAGCTCCATGTGAAATTCCCCCAAAGAAAATTCCTCTTACAGTGGAATTCAAAGAATAATAATACAGATCAGAATTCACCACTTCATATCCAGCTCCAAAAATGAACTTGCTAGGTTAAAGGAATTTGAGGCGGTCTGTCACACTGAGCTGGTGATGTGCTTAACAGATGCCTGTTGGGGTTCAGATGAAGTGCTGCAGAAGCGTATGATGCCAGGAAAAGGATTAAAAAGTCAGCAGGCTGTTATAAAGGAGGAGTAATTATTTGTAAGCCTTAACTTTTGTTCGTGGCTAATACTAGCTTTGTTTGATGGTTCTTAATCTTTTCCGTGCTGACCTTGATCTTCGGACAAGTTAAAACTCTTGTTTGATAATGTAGCAGGGTAAAGCACTTGCTGCCTACTTGTAAATGTGACCTCCTGTAGTCAGAGTCTTCTGTACAGAAACAGTTTCTGTGTTTCCTTTCTCACCCTTGCCTGTATCGTTGAATTCCATGCCAGTTTTTAAAAGCTTGCAAAAAATGGGAGTTTCACTTATTCAAACCCAACTGAAGGCCAGTGAGCATCTTTTTTTTTTTTTTTTTTTTCTTTTAAGGATCTGGACTCTTAAATAAAGTGTCCAGGGTTTTCTCAGGATATTTCCACCCTTCAGCTAAACTTTGAGGAAGTTCAACTTCCATGATCTAAGTTGCATTTGTATAAATGTGCACGTCTGTCACAGAGCTCCAGTTCCATTTTACTGATGCAATTGTGTCCTCGTGAGAGGCTGAACTGACAGTGAAATATTGCTTCTGCGGCTGATACTGTCATAGGGATAGAACACTTAAATTCACACCTTGCTTTATTGTGATCCTCTGGAAATGTGTTTCAGTGGTTGAGCAGAAGGTTTAAAATGGAGAAATCTGTTCCAGAGCACCTGAAATGTGCTGCCTTTTTTTTTTTCTCCTAACAGGCAGTCTGTGTATTTTTCAGGTAGACAAAGTAATCTTATGCTTAATGATTATTTAAAATAATAACTTGTGATAGAAAAACCTTGGCATCTTGTTTAAATAGATTCTCTGATAAATTAAAGAAGTTTGTAGCTGAGCTGATCAAGCATACAGAAATGTTCTCTGGAAATACTGGTAATTAATTCTACCAGGACATGAAGTTTATTGGGTAGGGATGAAGGGTATAGAACAAATCCCTTAAATAATGGCCTGTACTTGCTGATGCATGTGGTTGGGGTTCTAAAACAAAGTGGACTATTTTAACTACCAATTTTATCAGTAAAAGGCTTAAAGTGCTTAAATAAATTGTCTAAAGCACAGCCATCACTATAGAAATACAGCACTCCATTATGTATGGTATGCAAGCGGGTGGAAATCTTTGGACTACAATAAAAAAGCGAAGCTTTTTCTTATTTTTGCTGTCAGTCTGACCACATAGGTTTTGCTGTTTGCCTTCAGCTTATTAAAGACAAAGTTGCATGGCTGTTTTTCTTAATACTGGGCCAATTCCTACATACACCATCCAGGTCATTGATCTGGGATAAATGGAGTGCCTGCAAAAATGACTGCTCTCTCTCTGAGGATAATGTGCTACAGCGAAAGTCCTGGGAATTGCAGAAAAACAGCTGTGAAGTTTCAAGCACAGATCCTGATCAACAGCCCTTTGAAATCACAGGACTTCACTCGTGTCTGCAGCCTGCTGAGTTTATTTCTGGTGTCTGCAAATCTACTGAAGCCAAAGATATCTCCTCAGTAGAAATGGTGCCAAATCTAGTGTATCTCTAAGCATGGAAACACTTCAGCTAAATGTACCTGTGTGCTTAACCAAGCTGACTAGTAAGAAGTTAACTTCTTAAGTAGCAAACCAGGTGTTTATAAAAGAAGGATGTTATCTGTCCCGTAAAGGCTGATGATTGCTCTTTGCGAAGGGGCTGCCAAATCTCAGCAGGCTCATCTAGGGCTGGTGAAGGGGTTCAGAGAGGAAAGTGAGATCAAATTGCCACGGTTTCAGTAAAACAAGTTCTTGTTCTGCTGCTGGACTGGAAGAAAAGTGTAGGGTTTGCTGTTTTCGTGATAGGTCCAAAGTGGTTGTTCTTTTCATCCCTTATTTAAGTATATACTCTGGGATGTAACCCGAACAGATTAATATTTTGATTCAGCTAAGAGGAAATCAATCAGCTCAGGAGGTGGCATTTGTAGGCTCCTTTCCAGCAGAATTAATAAGTATGCCGAAGGCTGGAGACTTACAGGACTGCAACACTGGCTAAACTGATGTTGTATTTTGAACGTGAATCTACTTGACAGAGAGGGTGTTGTGCTGGTAATTCACTGCGTGCTAGTGTTTCCATCGACAGGCCTCTTACCTTTTCCTTTTTCACTTTTTCCTGTCTATTTATGTTTTTAATTTATTTTTATACACTCATGACAGCTTGCTTATTTATGAGAAATATTTCTACTATCCAATGGTGGTGCATGAATTAAACATGAGCGAACACTTCTTAATTCCTTATTTCACATTTATGGCTGCTGTCCTTCAAGAGCTCCGATTTTTCCCTCTTCTTCACATTTGTTTCTTTCATTTTTTCTTAATTGCCTAATACGTCCTTCCAAAGCTGTTTGCTTTCCCAGCACCGAGTACTGCCAGCATGCTAGCTAAGTGCACGCTCAACAGGATTGTTGTTTGTCTGTCAACAGTAGTCATTTAGTGTAATGACAGATATTGATTGTTTATTACTCGAAAACATTTAATTAAATTTGACTGTATAATTAGCATACTAACAGCCAGACATACTAGAAGGACAGTGAATCTATTATTTGCAAAAATGCTCAAGCTGCAGACCTTTGTGAGAAAGCTGATAAAAGAATCTGTCTCTGTAGGGCTTTTTAGAGGGCTTTTAGGTGTTCCTGAGTTTCAGATGAATCTTTGTGTTATGCATTGCCCTTGTGGTTACCTTTCTTCTTTAAAGAGCTGAACTTACACAGAACCTTAAATCTTGACTTCGGTGGGATTCCCCAAGGATATTGGAACTGACATATGTCTGAGGACAAGGTCTACTTTTAAATACTAAAGGTAGTTTAGCAGTGGATGCATGATCATTTGTTTACCTTCTGTTCCTATAGTTAACCTGTTCAGTGTGAGTTAGAAAGAGAGTTTTTTAGTATTGTGTAATCCATGTGTATTTTAACTGTTCTCCGTTGTTGTCTACCCTAATTTAGGTACTAAATTTTATCTTTTGACTGTATGTGTTGTTAATCTGTATGACAGGAAAACAACATTTATGTTGAAAAAGATCTGATATTCAGGTTAAACTGAAAATCAGCCAGCATATATTAATGCATGCACCTTATATATTAGTACTTACTGAAATATTTCTAGCTTGTGATGTGCATCTGCAGTTAAATAACTTCGCAAGCTGAGGTAACTGTCAATATTGAATTATAGAGGAGTAGACCACAGCATTAGAAACAGTAATACAAGAGCAAGGTTTCTTGATGGAGGAAGAGGGTGAAATGGTGTGTGTGTGTGTGTCTGTGTCTTGTCCTAGAAAAGCAGTTGCTGTCTTTGGCTGTCGAAAAGAAGCAATCTTTGATCTCCTGGCCAGTGTTCCTGCAGAGGTAGTGATTAGCAGCCCTTTGGGGCTTCAGTGTCCTGCCGTACATACCAACAGCTTTCTGCGTACTTTAACTAATCAGAAAGATTGGAAAGATAGGAGGGAAGTTTCTAAGTGGGCAGAATAAAGTTTAGAGGGGAAAGGTATGCCCAGAGATAGAGTGGATAAAGTGAGCACGTGGGTGGTTTAAAAGACACCCTGTTTGCTTACGGAATAGCTTTTGGGAGGCTCTGGCTTTGGTTTGCGGGCAGTCCTTAACAGCGTTGGTGTGTGCAAAGTTTGCTTGAAGTTTTGTTAGGGAGGTGAGGCATAGCACAGGAGTAACAAGTAACCTGTTCATTCTCAGCCAGATGATAGCAAATCTAGAAAATCCTCGTTGAATAATTTGACTATATATTAACGAAGCACGGCTGCAGTTCAGCTCAGCCATGTGAAATGGCTGTTGGGACAAGCATTGCTTCTGCTATGTGAACCTTCTGCCTCCTGCTCCCTCTGGGAGTATGAATGATTGACTGAGCTGAAGACAACTCTTTGTACATCACCTGTGTGAGAAAATATTTATCATAGATAAATGCAAGGTAACACTAAAGCCTGCAATTTTTTTTTTTCTTCTGTGAATGCAATGGAAGGAAAGAATTAGCTACATCTAAACATGTAGCTACACTGTAAATATTTTTTCATGAAATAATGCTTGTCCATAACTTATCAGGTAGCTCTGCTAAAGTTGAAGTAAATGTGTCTTTGAACCTATAATCAGATTTGATCTAACTCACGTCACCTTTTCTTTTATTAGTGATGGAGTGTCGAGTGGTGTTGGACAATAATCAGAGATTTTCTTCATTATCAACCTACCTACCTGTGAGCTATCGGATCTTCAGTGCTGAGACATCTTTCTTTCTCAAAGAAGCCAACCAGGACTTTATGAGAAATTCCAGTTTGCAGTCCAGGGTGGAATCGTTCTTCCCATACAAAGCCAAGAGACCACCTATATTAAATGCCAGCTACGGACCTTTTTCGGTTGAACAAGTCGTGCCCCAGGACCTACTGTTAACTTCCAACTTTTTTGGATCTGCCAACAAGTTTACTTACAACTGGAAACTTCAAGCATACATAATGAGCAACAAAATTTACCTGAGCAAGCCCAAAGTGCAGGTGCTCTTCTACATCGTGGGCAGGGACTGGGATGACTACAGCACCACGGAGCGGCTGCCCTGCCTGCGGGTGTTTGCCTTCCGAGAGACGCGGGAGGTCAGAGGCAGCTGCAGGCTGAAAGGGGATCTGGGCTTGTGTGTGGCAGAGCTGGAGCTCCTGCCAAGCTGGTTTAATCCCTCCACGGTTGTCACGGGCCGTAAGAAGCCACCGGATCAGTTTGAAGGGAGCCCTGTGGAGCTTTATTATACTATTCAACCAGATGAGAAGGGAGAGTGCACCACTGAGGATATAAGGAAGGGAAATGCTATCCGGCCAGGAAAAGATGGCATGGATGAAACTATGTCCCACTTACAGAGGATTGGATCTGTCAGCCTCTACCGAGGCCAGGAGACTTCTCAGCTAACGGAGCTGCGGCTGGACAGTAACGTTGTTGTCTGGTTGCCCTCAAAGCCTGTCAAACAAGGAGAGGTTGTGAATGTTTATGTCACAGTTGCCAACAACTCCACGGTGGATCAGTTCATACTCAGGTACAGTAGGTCGTTTTTGTATGTTTCTAATGAGGAAGCACGTGAAGGTATTGGGGACATGGGATGGATCTCAACCAGTTTGAAGTTTATCCACTCTGAAGGTTGCTCCTAGTCCCTGAAACACCTTATTTTCCTCCTTGAACACTGTGAATAGGATTTAAAGCCTACATCACCAGGAGGCTTTTAACATGTATGCCATGCCATTTATCACATGCCCACATTATGCAACAACGTACAGAACACAGCAGTTCGCTGCTTTAGTTGGGTCCTTTCTGCACAAAGACAGACAATAAGGCACCAAAAAAGTTTTCTGCTTTACAGGGCTTTTAAAATAAAGATTTTATTGCACAGACATGGAGCTTAAACACAGCAAAATTTCAATTGCCTGCTTTTCTTTAAGTGCTCTGGCAGTGCTTTGCCTCTCCCACCCAGTGCAGTCTCTCTCTGGGGAGGGGTTTAACTATCTACCCAAGTAGTTTTTGTCTTTGCCAACCATATACCCTTTAAAATAATGTCTGACATGTTTGATATTGCTGTTGACTGTAAGGAACTGTTAGAAGTGAGTGCGGTTATTTTGGATGGGAATGGTGAATAAAGGACCTGGGAACACAAGAACTGCTTTACTGGGTCAGATCACTTTCCTTTTATTTTTTTCTTTAGCAGTTTCCCTACCAATCAGATGAAATCCTTTGAGGATGACAAAGACTGGGAGACTTGTTAATCACTGAAATATTTGATGTATCTTTTTTTTTCTTGTTACTAGGCTTTAAAGAGAAATTTCCACGGTGATAAGCAACAATTGCTCTTTAAAGCCTCAGGGAATCAGAGTTTCCCAAAAGATTCTGCACATGAAAGTATTTATTTCTAAGGCTTATATGAATTAGATTAATACATAGTTGACAACTACTGAGGAGAATAGCCTTTAGAACAGGAAGTGCTGCTTGGCAGATAAAAAGCAGATTTTAAAAAAGGGGACTTTCAGTCATCCCAGAATTTGTTCTGATGTTTGCAGCTTTGGTTAAGTTGGTGAGATAATCTCCCAGACACCTGTTTACTGAGTGAAACCTCCATTATAGAAGTCTTTCCTGATGTTGTTGCTTATCTTTTATTGAAAATCCTTTTTCATAAAGTAGTAGAAATAGAATACTTCTCCACACGACAGGCATAGCTGTGGTGAAAGAAGGAATCCAAAGGCAATGAACTGGATGTTTGCTGACTGGATGGGAGTGGGGATCGCCCTTTAAAGGTCTTTATTTTCCTGAAAAGTGAGTTGAAAATAAACAAGCTTGTTGAAATCTGATAATGTATTTCTTTGCTCAGTGATGAATCTGACTGCCTAGGCAGGGATATCATTTGCATGCTGAGAGGCACAGTAGGTAGAGATGATAATGTGGGATGTCAGTAGTTGCCTGCGTGACATGCTCTTACGGCCAGAATGGATTTGCTTTGGTTTTGAGAACAGGTGACCAATTTTTTTTGAAATAAATAGTCTGACGCTTGTTTGTATACTGGTTATTCTGGGTTACCACAAATGTACAGCTCTGGCTATATTCTCTTTTCAAAACATTAGTTTGGCAAAAAGAGGATTTGTATTTTTGCTTAAGAATTACTTTGAACCAGACACAAGAGCATAAGAAGCTGAAGAAACCAAGGGTTTTTAAATTTTTTTTAAATGGCTTTTGCTTGCTTTAGTTGTGGATGCACAAGGGGTCATTGCCTTGAGTTGTAGTATAGGGCTGACTCGTTCTAAAAATCAGCATTGTTTCAGTGTGCTTCCTTCCCTCTACCACCAAAGGCAAGAAAATCAGTATGAGATATTCCAAAGCAGTCTTGGTTTTGAAAACATGGTCTTGTAGGCATGTCAATCCAAAGATACTGATAGTTGCCGTTGTTAAGGTATCAGATGGAAGCTTTGCTTAAGTTGTACAGGAGGGTAATTCCATGTTAAAAGGTAACAGTTTTAACTGTTCTTCTGACGCTGCAATGGGAAGGAGCTGATACCCGTTGGTGAAAGTCATGTGGGACTGTTCCATGAGTCATGAACCGTGTGGTGGATTCTGTTGGCTGGGAAGGTTTCTTTCATGGTTTTAGGGGCAGAGGAGTGTTGGTGAAAAGCTGATAAACCAAGTTAGGCTTTCTGGTTCTGTGGTAGAGGTCTGTTGTCTTCAGCGAAACTTCTTAGGTGTGAAAGACTATGGAATTTGACCCAGGAATCTATGAAGTGCCTGTATCCTAAAAGAAAAAAAGGCAAGCTAGGGAGTAGCCAGTGCATATGCTGCTTCTGCCTCAGGGCTCCTTTAACCTTCTCTGTGGCCATTTGCCTGGTTAGATAGAGGGCTCTATGCTCTGGTACTCGTGGACTCCCAGCAGAGCAATCCCTACATCCTATGACATGCATTCACATTTAATCATCTTAAAGAAAAATGCACCACACGTTATCCCCGGGCATAGTGGGTTTGTTTATTTTCTGCTTCTTGTATATTATTCATTGAGGTATTTCAACATCCAGTGCTGAAGCAAACAGTATGTGATCATTGCTTTGGGGGCAGGGGGTGTGTGTGTGGAAATAACAGCTACAAATCTTCTTTGGCAAAAGGAAAGTAGACTGCTCTAAATGACCTCATAACCACAAATCATTGCAATTGAAAGTGTGTTCTTAAATTGTGTCTTAATTCAGAATCCTGCTACTGTATCTATAAATTTATCAGCCTAAGAACACCAGTAAAGTCAAAGGGAATGACTAATATGACGGGGAGCGGAGTGAATTATGCGTGGTAGTACATTAAGGCAGTGGGAGCGCTGTGTGAATAAACACACATCTTCCTTTCTTGCATCTCATCAGCACAGAGCTACTGGGAAAGCAGTTCCAACAATATGGATAGGCTGTAGGGTACAGGTTCCCTTCACAGGCCTGTTCCTGTCCTGCTGTGTTATCTTCTGTGCGACACAGAAAGTGTGAAGAGTTGGTCAGCATCACTCTCAGGAGTGGGAAACCCATTTCAGTCTTGTTCCTAGAAAGCTTTGATTTCCTCTGATGGAAGGGTTTTCAGCTTTGCCATAAATTAACCACAGTAATATAAATGAAAAAATATTGATTAAAGAGCTGAAGAAATAGAGAAGGGGGAAAGAAAATATTACACTGTATTCCTACCATTAGGAAGGATTTCTGGGCCTCCAAAAGAGAGATAAATTACATTTACTGCTGACTGCTCAGTAAGGAAAACCTACTTCTAGCCGTTGGGGCTGAGTAAACTATGAACAGAAGAAAAGTACTATCAGTATAGGACAGAAAAGCAAAAAAACTAGCAATAGAGATTATGTGTACTGCTCGGAGCTGTTATAAATTAGTACCACCGGCTTCAACAGAGCTACTGTGGTTGATTATCACTTCACCATTTGCTGTGTAGGCACACGATTCTGATCTGAGTCATCATTTTGGGTGCATTGTCTGTGTTAGAAAGCAAAATCCGTAGGGCGAGACCCTGGTCTCGAATGCTTTTATGCCCTCATGCCCAGCAGACTACAAATAAGGGGAAAAATCATAAACATACTGAAAATAACTGCCTGTTGTGAGATTAACTTTCAGAAAATAACACGTAGCTACATGTGTACGCTGAGGCACTTGAAGGTAAGTAGGAAGCTGGACACTCAATTTCTGTTTGTAGTCCTGAGGAGACGGTGACCTGAATGCATTAGGCAGCTTTGAAAAGTCTGTCCTGTGTGCATTGCTGTGTTTGTTCTGTAGCTCTAAATGCTTTTCCAGCTATTACGCTGTTAAAGGATCCTTCCGTCTGTTTTTCGTGGCGTGACATGTCACATCTGATCTGGCAGAACACTGTACAACACAAGGCCAGAGCAAAAGGTGTGGGAGCGCTAAGTGTTTTATGTTACTCTGCTGGGCAGCAGCTAATCTCTAACTCACTCTAGAAGGTGCTGATAACCTGATTTACAGAAGGTGTTGAGCAGGATAAGTAAAAGGAAAGAGGATGAAGTTGTTATCTGTCCTGATTAGAGAAAAGAGGTAAAAAACATTGGTACTTTTTTTTTCCCTGAGGCTGCTTATTAAAGATTTTGTAGTGCAGCTCATTGCATTGATGTAAGTTGTAAACAGGGTTACTGAATTACCTTTGTCCAGCAAACAAATCAACCCAAGACAATGGATAATTAATGGTGATAATAAATCTACAGAATGGAAGAAGGATAAAGGATAAATGCAGCGAGGAAAGCTATTAAACTCTTCGGCTGAGGCAGCTTTATATGTCAGTTCCTAATGAGTATTGACAGCAGAGGAAGATGCACATGTAGAGTAGCACTACAGAATAGCCAGAGCTAGAAAAAATTCCAAGACTAGATTGTGACCGGACCATAAATAGCCATTTTGCATGGAAGACCTAGTTGAGCCTCCCCAGGGAGTAAAGCAGGCAGAGGAGAGCCGTCTGTGCTTGGCACTGCCCTCAGCTGTTCTACCTGCTGCACGTAAAAGAGAGAAAAATAATAATGTTTTCTAACAATTACTGTTTAATTTTAGATACTGATATTTTAGTCTTACCTGTACTCTGAAATCCACCTGGCTTAATGGTTGGTTTATCACTTCTGAAGGCTCACACCACTGCAAACCTGAGTGACATTGTAATGACTAACTGCAGCTGAAGTTAACCACAATGTATGAGACCAAAGCAGAGCTGACTTCACATTTGGTGTTAACTCGTAATTTGGGACATATCCCAAGCACCCATTTTATACAGCAAATGGGATGCCGATTTTCAGTGGTGAAGTGAAGGATGTGCTTTTTTTAATATTGCTTCATATTTTAAAACTAATGTATCTAAGAATGAAATGAAGAGAGGCAGAATGATTTGGTGGGATGCTCTTGGGATACATGTGTATTTCCAGATGTGAATAGCAACAATACATTTTGCATTTCCTGTGCAGCTTTGCATTACTTAAATATTTAAAAGTTATTTCAATGCACAAAAGTGCTTCAGTCAACATCTGAAGGG